AGAGAGAGAGAGAGAGAGAGAGAGAGAGAGAGAGAGAGAGAGAGAGAGAGAGAGAGAGAGAAAGTAGGATTGATTATCGTTCTCTCTCATTCTCTCTTTACCTGCTGATTGTCATGTAAACCAGGATGCATGCGCGCATTTGGCCGTATTATGACGTAATGCATGACGGACGGTCTTCGCGGTAATTGCGTCCGGATAATGCATAAAACGGTTACGAGAGAGAAACGACTGGTTCTCTCTTTCTCTTTCTCTCTGTCTCTCTCTCTGTCTCTGTCTCTGTCTCTGTTTCTGTCTCTCTTGGTCTCTTTTCCGCCTCCTCCACTCTTTTCTCTTCGTCGATTGATCCGTTTGCGAGCGGATATGCAGCTCGGGTGGAAGGGTGAAGAGGAAGTGGAGGATGAGGTTGGAGAGGGTGGTGGTGGATGGTTGAAGCTCGATGGAGGTGGAATTGGCGGAGAAAAGGGATAATGGTGGGGATAGTTGGGACAGGGGGGTTGGCAAGGTGCTGTTGGAACGAAGGTATATATGAAAGAGAAAGATAGAAAGAGAGAGAGTGATCGAAGAAAGGGATGGTAGAGAGAAGAAGGAGAAGAGGCACGAGAAGCCAATTAATTTTACGATGGCAAACAGTGGGACTGTCGCAACGCCGTTTCTGCAGTTCACTGAAGTAATTAAAGTTTAAATTGTTTTGAAGAACAATAACGCCCTTCCACGGTGCTTCCTCTTATTCTCCTCCTACTTTTTTTCCTCCCCTTCCCCTTTATCTCTCTTTATCTCTAAATGTGAGCGCGAGAGAGGTAACGTCTCGTTCACGTCATCGTTGTCGTTGTCGTTGTCGTCCTCGTCCTCGTCCTCGTCCTCGTCGTCGTCACCGTGTCGGAGAACGACGTCGACTTATTGTTGATAAGGAGAAAAGGTTGAAAGGTTTTAATGAAATCCCAAGGAAACAGAGATGTTCGCACGGAAGTTTAAAGTATCAACTGTTCCATTGGTGATATTCTATTAGTATCTTTTACTGATTACTATGGAAAAAAGAAAGAAAAAGAAAGAAAAAGAAGAAAAAAAGAAAATGTCTGGAATTTAATCTTTTCAACGTTTTAAACTGACGGAATTCCTTTCCTATTTTTACTTTTCTTAGTTGAAAATACCTTGCGGATGGGCGTTCATAGTTGCGTGCGCTTATGTATGTATGTATGTGTAAGTTCTTTTAATGAAATTATTTACATTCAGAGCGTAAAAATTCATTCATAATTAATCCTCAAACATGAAATAGTACGTGTAATATTATGACCAGTTTGTAATTGCAATACGGTGTTTCTGTTGCACGTATAAAAAGATTTACTTCCTTTAACATTGATTTTTTTTTATATTACTTATTAATATATTCCAACATTTATTATCATAATCGTTATTGTTTTATTATAATTATTATTTTTATTAACAATAATATTATTTTACGTTAATGTGTTTTTTTGATTATACAATTTTACTTGTTTTTAATTTTCATATGTAAGTACTTTATACGTGTTTGTATAACTTACGCATACTTGCATTTATTTTAACTTCGTTGCCATAATTATGCCATAATACGTCAGTTTCTCTTCCTCTCTCTCTCTCTCTCGTTCTCTTTCTATCTCTTTCTCTTTCTCTTGTACTTTCTGTTCCTGTTCGTATCCTCGGCTTTCTCCGACGTAATTAAAATTCGAACGAATAGCAGCGAACCGAATAAATCGCTCGTCCTCTCGAACGAATTTACGAGATTCGCGAATGAAGCCGATCATTAATAACCGATTCTCGTAGGGAATAAAAGGAAGAAAAATTTACGAACGCGTATTAGGATCTGACTTGTAGGCGTTAATTAAATTTCATTATATCATATGTTTTTAATCGAGTACGTTGCTGCTGCTGCTGCTGCCAGTGCTATCCTTTATTCTTTCCGCACATTCATTCGAATAGAATTTAATTATTTCTTTTTCTCTATTTATCTTTTTTATATATATATTTTTCTTCTTGTTAAAAGAATAAATGTATAAAATGTGTATTTTCGTACATAGTTACGTACAAAATGTATATTTGTGTATATATTTTCAGTATTATTATAAATAATATTATAGTAATAACAATCATATTACCTATTCATTTCATTTAATTATCTCGTGCGTTTAAAAAAAAATGAAAAAACAAAATAGGAAAATGTAAACACCTTGATAATCACAGACAGCTTTTAATCCTAGTACGTAATTGAGAAAATTCCTCGTTGTTATTATAATAACTTATCTAGTGAAAGTCAACGATTTTAGGTGTTTTAAGATTGAAAAGAACAGTGAGGTAGTCGTGAGACATGCACAATGGCTAATTGTCGTCATTGACGCGTGGCTAAAGAGGAACGGAAAACCGGTGAACCGAACTCTGCAGGAGTAGTTTCCTGGTGAAATGAAACAAGGGTGGAAGGAGGTAGTACAAAAGAGAGAGAAAGAGAGAGAGAGAGAGAGAGAGTGAGAGAGTTAGTGGGAGGGGGTGGTAGGGGGAGTTGGTTGTCATAGGCGTTCTATGGTCGCCACATAGTCACGTCGTATACTCTTTCACAAACTCATTATGTTAGTAGTAGGAGTACTTACTCTCCACAAGAGAGAGAGTGAGAGAAAGAGAGAGAGAGCGGTTTTGGCTTTCTCTCTCTCTCTCTCTCTCTCTTTCTCCTACTCTCTATTTCGCTCCCTTTCACTTCTCTCTATCTCCTACAGCCCCGTCCACCACTAATTATAACCATGATCATGCCATGCATTAACTCTCCTTGTACAGTAATTGTTAATGAGAGCACACGAGCGATCGCATTACTACGGACCGTTCTGTAAGCTACCGCTTGTAATTAGAGTTATCCCTCCCCCTTTTACCTCTTCCTTTCTCCACCTTCCTCTCAATCCTCTTCCCTTACTCTCTTGCTTGCTCGTTTACTCGCTCGGTCTTTCTTTCTTTCTCTTTTTCGTTCTTTCTCTTTCGCAGCAACCACTATACTCAACTCCTCTATATCCCTTATTTTCCACCATTCCTTTGTTATCATCAATCTATTTCTTTTCGTATTCTCTTTATCTACATCCTACGTATTTTTGCAATTTTTTTTATTTTCTTTTTTTCTTTTTTTTTTTTTTTTGGCTATTTCCTATTATTTTAAGAGTATATTTTAAAGGAACAATGGAGAGATGAGAGATTTTATAATTAATTGATAAAGAATAATAAACGTTTTTTTAAGTTCAGTCTACGGTGAAATATTCGGTGCTAGTAATTATGATAGAAATTACAACAAATGTAAGATTAAATTAACTAATTGTTTTTTCTTTTTTGTATATAATTGCATGCTTATGTATGTGTTCATTATAAATAGCATAGAAATGTTTCAAAACTAAATGAAAATATAGTTACAGTTAGTTAAACCTATTAGTCGTATGCTATCGGCTGACGTAAAAGTATTTACGCTCGAAGACTTCGTCGTATCGACGAAAGAAAATATTTTCTTTTTCTTTTTTTTTTTTATCAATCACGCGAGAGGGGATATATGGGAATGATTTAAAAGATTATTTGGCAGGGAGAAACGAAACGATTCCGCAGTTCATCCGGCTGCTTCTCCTTGACCTACATTCAATCGCACCGATC